TACGACACTGTCTGTAATACTGGTCTGCCGTCCTACTACAGCAGGTGTCAGCAATCTTTGGGGGTATATAAACATCTTTCTTCTTGACAATTATAGCTATATTCATATTCCAAAAATATGATAATGTTTTCACAATCAGAATGGCTAGTAAAAACAAAATTATTTCAAGAAATTTTACACCAATGTATTTTCACCGAATACAGGAAATGTTTGAGCATATGAATAATACGGTAAAATTTGTTGATATGAATTGATGCTTTTAAGAAAATTTTCTGTTACTGATTTAGAACAGGGATCATTTGGGGGTGACACGTACTGCCCTTTTTATTGGATTATTTAGATAAGAAAAGTATCCAAAATATATATTTATGAAAATACATCTGTTACAATGGGTCCTGAACCCAAAGGACCCACCTGGTCTGACACTGGCATTCTAGACATCGGTGATTCTATAATGTACAGAAATCATAATGAAGATGCATGCCCACAAAACGTTGTTCAGACACGGATCAGGACAGTTCGGTGTTACCATGGAAACAGCAGCTGAACTTGACACTGAGCACAAAGGAGATCCTACAGATTCAATATTTCCATTAGTCGTGGCGGTTGAGAATACGGAAAGATTCCGTACAGAAATGTAGAGATATATGCAGTTTTGACAAGGAAGGAAGCACACTGTGAACATTTTAAATCTGGAAAATATTTGTCCTTGGAGGCTTCAAAACAATTTAACCTTCCGTTCCAAATGCAACTTGCTGACTTGTCTATCTTGTCCACATCCTGAATTCAAACAACCTTAAACACTTGACAACCCTTACAAAAAAAATCCCCATCATAACATGGAACACAGTTTTGACCAATATGTACTTGACTATTGCAACAATGACCATTAAAACCTTTGAACAAAACAATGATGACCTTTACTTTGCCGTCCTCATGTTACACTGGCTGTTGTGAGGACGTTAAACCACAAACAAACAAACAAACAAATGACCATTACAATATTTAGCTTATTATGATAATCCCTCTTTATCATTTTTACTTCTGTCAGTTATTCACATTGTGATGCAAAATTTCAAACAATCCTATTTTCCTTTTTTTTTTTTTAATATTCTCAAATGATATTTGTACTGATATTGTATGTTAATTTAAGATTGTCTGGTACAAAACTATGCAGTATTATTTTTTTTCAAATCTAAATAAAAAGAAGAAATAAATCGGTGACCTATTGACATTTTAAGAAATGTGCTAAGTCAGCAAGCTAAGCTGCAAAAAATGTCTTTCAAGTATTACAAAGTACTACAGAGACTGCAGAAGCCTGAACAGCAGCATTAAACTGAAATAACCTGCATGATTTAAGGAGGGAAATCAATAAAGCCAGGTTTATATAGTACAAGTAGTCGGAGCAACATACACAAGTGCAATTATGGCACTCCTTTATGGTCACAAGTACATTCTCTAGAAGATAAATATGATCATCAAATCCTACCACTAACCTTGGAAAACTGTTAAACCTGCAGCAAGCCAGCTAGACTGTACCCAAAACCAATTCACAGTACACCTCAGTGAATTGTACCCACAACAAATTCACAGTACACCTCAGTGAATGGTACCCACAACAAATTCACAGTACACGTCAGTAGATTGTACCCAAAACAAATTCGCATTACACCTCAGTGAAGTGTACCCACAACCAATTCACAGTACACGTCAGTAGATTGTACCCAAAACAAATTCACAGTACACCTCAGTGAGTTGTACCCAAAACAAATTCACAGTACATCTCAGTGAGGTGTACCCACAACAAATTC